GGGGGGTCAAACCGGATTATTTTCTGCACTGCGGATGCAGCCAGAATGTGCTTCTACAATCCCCAGAATTCCATAGCATGGAGCCATGGCAGTTAAAGCGGGGTCAAACCGGATTATTTCTGCAGTGTGGACTGAATCTATAAAGGCCTAGATCTGTGAAGTCTTATACAAAGCTAGAGATTACTGGGTGAAGGAGGGGATATTTAAAGACACAGAAGAGAAGCTTTTTTAGGCATGCCTGTCAAGTGTAAAAATCTGACCTGTTTCAAACCAAGGGAATTGCAAAATATCCAAGGTTTTCCTGAGCTTTCTTTTCTCCTTGATTTTGTGGGCTGCCTACTTTTCCGAAATGACATGCTGCAGGATAGCGGCATGTCTCCATAGCAAAATAGCCGCCGCTCTTTCTCTTCCGTTTTCTGAGGTTAGCCAGTTTTCGAGCAAAGGATGAATAACTCTGCAAGGTGTGTATTTCATATCCTCGATTCCACATTTTCGGTGACTCACCAATTCATTTGGGCAAATAAATTCGGGGTCAGTGAGTCACACTTCCTTTTGGGTGCTTAAGGTAAATGCTCGCTATAGCTGTTTTCTGGTGGCTTTGGGAATACAATTAAAGAAAAAAAAACTTTTGAAACAAAGTTGGTTGGACAGTTCTACTGATTGTGGGTGCTATTTTTTTAGTTGAGTAGATTTTCCTTCTAACAGGCAAAGGAATCGACTTTCCTACCCTACCATTGACTCCCTTTTTAACCTTTTTGTCTTGAGTCAGCTAGAGCCAGTGTGGTGTAGTGGTTTGCTTGGTTCTGATGCCACAACAAACTATAATTCCCAGAATTGTACAATTCCCAGACAAGGGTTTTAATCCCCATTTGGCCATGGAAAGCAAAAGAAATTACAAGCTCCCTCTGAATAAATTGTGTGGTGTAGTGGTTTGAGCGTTGGACATATATGACTCTGGAAAGCAGGGTTCAAATCCTCGCTCAGCCATGTAAACCCCACTGGGTGTCCTTCGGCAAGTCACACTCTCTCAGCCACAGAGGATGGCAATGGCAAACCCCTTCTGAAGAAACTTGCCAAGAAAACCCTATGATAAGGTTACCATAAGTCAGGAATTACCGGTACTCGAAGGCACACAATAACAACTTGAGTCAGATGTCTTCTTTATTTTCATGGGCTCGGGAATCTATAGTCAGTGGCCGTATAGTTAGATGGTAATACTGCTTAACTGCTTAAAGGTGAAACGTAGGGGGGAAATTCCAGCGCCTTCCTAGGGACGTTTTGTTCCATAAAACAAATGCCTTCAAAGAAGACAGATCTTTTCTCGTGTCAAATATAATTAGCCGCTCAGTTTGGGTTGTTAACTGTCTAGAGATACTTATTGAAAATCTAACATGCAAACATTTTTATGACCTCTTTAACAAGAAACCTCAAAAGGATTCATTGGAAAGGGCTGCCCCAAAATGCTGTCAAGGCGTAATCCAGAAAACCAAGCTATTCCTTTAATATGAACAATGCAGTGGGAGACAGTAGAATTACTATCCCTTCCCTCATCTTTCCTTCCTTGCTGTATCAAGCAGGAAATTAATATTGCCCTACCAAGCCATTGCTGCATTATTGAGGCGTCAAAATCAGGATTTCTGGGTTATAATCTGGCAATCTTTACTCAAAAAACCAGCCTTAGAACTGTGGTGATTGTGGACCAATATGAGCTGAGCATGATTCAAATATCATAGAAAGAAATATCTGCACACAGAGATAGTTAACATCACCATGTTTTAGCAAAATAATATTTTTAGACTTCAGGGTAGAGAATCACACATTTTTGCTCCTATATCTTTTTTTTTAATTGTTTAGAAGAAGAGTTTTAACTAACTTCTAACTTTTTGTGGACAGGAAGTTCTTGTTACAGACATAACAATCCCATTACAGTCAGCCGTCCATATCCACAGATTTTTTTTTATCCACGGAATCAAGCATCTGCAGTTTGAAAATATTTTTAAAATATATACATTCCCCAAAGAAAACCTTGATTTTGTTATTGTATATAAGAGACATCATTTTACAATGTTTTTATATTCAGTGGGACTTGAGCAGCCACGGATTTTGGTACCCACGGGGGTTTCGGGAATCACATGTGTGTGTGTGTGTGTGTGTGTGTGTGTGTGTGTGTGTGTGTAAATATATATATATATTTGCCATTTGAAATAGTACAGTGACAGGAACTTTGATCATACGGTTCAGATGAAAAGAGAGGCAAGCATTTGGATAATTTCTCTTAAAAGCGTAAGAATTGTTTTCAGCAAGAACCATCTGTTCCTGGGATGAGGAACTTCTAGAAGTGAGGGTGCACAGACCATCCCATGAACCCACTAGGGACAACCGTATATCATTGTATATCACCACTGTATATCACCGCTGTGCCACTAAATTCACCACCATGTAAAAACAAGGGGTGTAAGGAGGATGCCAGCATGGCATAGTGGCTTGAGTGTTGGATTATGACTCTGGAGACCAGGGTTTGACTCCCTGCTTGGCAAGCCTAACACCACAAATGGCAGCAGTGTAATTTATAGAGGGATTTCTCTCCTACACTACTAGCTGCTAGGGTCTATGCAGTAATCAGTGATATGCAGCAATTTAAAATCACAATACCATAACATTCAACAAAAATGTAATAAAAGTAGAGATCACAGATTTGCCTTAATCTTTACATAGAACAGCAAATTATTAGCAGACAAAAGCTGACAGGATAAAAATGTATTTATGAATGTTTAAAAGACCGCCTGTGCTTCACATGTGGCTAGACAAAGCAGTTTAAAGTTATTTATTTCTTCTTAGAAAGCAAGTGTCTAGTTCTTATTTTTCAAAAAAAAAAAAAAAAAACATCCTTGAAAGCATGCAGGTAATGCCTCATGAAATCCCAGAAACCAAAAGGGGTGTCTGAGTTTAGACTTTCTCCATTAGATGCAAAAGAAATCATGCAAAATATTAAACTTTGCAAAATATATGATTTCAAATACATGAAATTATGCAAATCTATTCTATATCCCTTATTTATTAATCAGAGCCAGCATGGTGTAGTGCAGGGGTAGGCAACCTTTTTGAGCCGGGGGCCGGGTTGCTGTCCCTCAAACAATTGGGGGGGCCGAAGCACCAAAAATAAATAAATAAATAAATAAATAAATAAATAGTATTTTTTAAAAAATTAAAAATATATACATACACACTCTCTCAGCCCCAGAAAAGCCATGGCAAAACC